GATCTTTATTATGGTCTATTCGTGTTTTTATGGTTATTTTATGATTTGAATGCACTAAGCAATGCAGCCGAGCCCAATTCTGGACGTAAGCCTGAACTTTTGTTAGTTTATGGGACAACTCGTTAGGTTAACTTACGTTCTGACATCTTTTTTTGTACCATATGGTCACTGCAGAGCCGGATGGCTAACAGATACGCAATTTTGATCTGTGAAGAAGTGTTTTCGATGTTATCGCTATCCTCATTTATAGAAGGCGTTCTCTCCAAATAACATCGAAAATGTTCTGAGGAGGGTATCGTTCTGATAACTCTTACTTACTTGGTGTGAGAGTGTTATAGTGTAAGACTACATTGTTTTGCATCACAGTATCGTGACGAGTCAGCTTATTTGATAAGTGCGATAGAGCGCTTCGTGGAGGCATAGTTGTTTTACTGCATGTGATCGTAGTCAACGTTCACTTTCAGGTTGAGATTGGTGTGGAACGAGCAAAGGTCATGAATGGTGCAGCAAGTGAGTGTCAATTAATAATCGAATGCTCAAACATCTTGCAAATTCCAGATGAATTTGAACGCCGTTAGTGTTATTTGGAATTATTTCGATTCATTCAAAAACTCTTTTATTGTTTTGAAAGCATTATGTTGCTATTATATGAGAATGAGAGATTGAATTAGAGTTGAGAGAACCGAATAAGATTCGTTTGAATGAAATGTGAACACAGTATTTTAGCTCAATTAGAACCTCTGCTGATGGTACAGGAAGGTGGTGAGATGCCGTTTGCTGTAACGAAGCAGTGTGGTTTAGTTGGTGTGCATCCTCAAGTTTTACCTGATCAGAAAATCATTAACGCCTTTTTGGAGAATAACATGCAAGTGTTTTTCCCTCAGGTTTGTTGTTGAGGTTGTAAACATCTATCCAAGTTGCATTCATTACTGCTGATTGATTGTTGAAGTGATTAATGTGTGGTGAATATAGCTCTTAAGAATTTTGTATTGAAGTTATGCATTCACGTGTGGTTCTGTTCCGATCGCTGTAATCAGTTCAGATGGAATGGCCAGAATTCGCGATGATTGGCCATTCGGTGGAAGGACGGGTGATTCGTGCACCGAGATGGTTCAGTCAAGCGTGGAATGAAACACAAGACATCGAAAAAGTTGCTCTTACGTTACAACGTTTTGGCAGAGATGTGGCTGGGTTTGCAATCGTCAAAGGGGTTCGTTTTAGCAGCCATTTGTTCTCATCTGTCTCTCAACAACTGAATCCAGAGATAATTATTCGTTTAAAATGATTGAAGCTTTCTAAAGTAGAGTGCATCGTAGAAGTACTCCGACGATTTCGGTTCGCTTCTTAAATGTATCCTCCGTCAGTGCTGTCTGTACCACTTTCAAGAAATATTTCGATTTCAGCACCTTGAAAACGGCGTAATATTATTGCCGATTGATAAGGATGATTTGAAAGAGTGTGGTGAAATCTTCTTCCCATTCGAAATCAAACGTGCTGAATCTGATTTCGACTATACGGTAAGTCCTTGTTTTTCGTGCATTTTGCGAAATATTATGTGGAACCTTTAAAAAAATTTCTATAATCGTGCTTTTGAGTTATTTTGTTTCTTTTCTTTGGAACAGTTTTGAACACCATCGAAACGACATCGTTAAAAATACTTGTTGAGATGAGTTCTGAAGGTGATTCTGTGATGTCAATAAGGTGCAATCAGTCTGTAAAAGAATCGATTTTGA